TCTCACACAATTTGGAGTGAGAACTAAGGCTTTTAGATCAGATAATGCCAAAGAGTACTTTGAAAAGGACCTGACCACGTATCTCTTAGAACATGGTGTAGTTCATCAGAGCAGTTGTGCATATACACCGCAACAGAATGGAGTTGCTGAGAGGAAAAACAGATACATTGTAGAGGTGGCAAGGAGTCTTATGATATGTGCTTCAATTCCTGTGCAGTTCTGGGGAGATGCAGTTCTTACAGCCATGCATTTGATTAACCGTGTTCCTTCATGGACTTTGGGGTTTAAGGTTCCATTTAGCCTTCTTTTTCCAGATGGAGAGATATTTCATATACCTGTGAGGGTTTTTGGTTGTGTTTCTTTTGTTCACATTCTTGGCCCTCATTGCAAGAATGAATCCTAAGGCCAAGAAATGTGTTTTTCTTGGGTATGCTCAGAACCAAAAGGGGTATTGCTGTTATGACCCAGTGTCGAGGAGCAGATTTGTCACTATGGATGTTACCTTCTTTGAATCCACATTCTTCTTCTTGAGTGGTTATCCTCAGGGGAGAGTTTTGGGGAGGAGAACTCACAATCTGTTCCTCTTCCTGTTTTTGTGGTGCGCTTCAAGGGTTTCAACTCTTTTGCAAAGGGTGGAAATCAATGAATCTCTTTGTGTATTAGTCAACCGACCCCTGTATTGCTTGCTACTATGTGTAGCCATGATGATAACAGCCTATAACCTTGGCTCTGATACCAAACTGATGTAGGACCAGCTTAGTTCTAGTCCTTGGAGAATGTTGAATGGTCTTCTTGATCAAAGTTTTATGGCTGTTGATGGTTGTAATGGTTTCTTGAAGGAATAAGAGAGAAAATAAGGAGAGGAAGAAGAGAGAAAATACCTGGAATCACCCACAGGGTGCCTAGAATCACTCTAGGGCATGGGAATCACTCACCATAGTGAGTTAGCGCTTTGACAATTATGGACTTAGACTAATATGGAACATATTAATCTATAACAGATGATTTCTTCTTCCTAATGGAAAGAGTTCAGCCATTGTTATCTATTTTCTCTAGTTTCTTTATTTCTATTACTAAATCTCCATTTGTCGATGTAGAAACGTTTTATACAAGGTGTTCTAGAACCATGTGTCTGGGTTATCACCCAAGAATAACATTACATGTTCATAATTGTCAGTGGCTTCAATAATGCAGCGTCAAGAAGGGTGGTCCAAATCCAGTATCAAACACTGTTTTGGCTGCTGTACTAGAGAAAGCTAAGGAGCTTGATGTGCCCAAGGAAATTCTGGAGCGCAACATTAAGAGAGCTTCTGAAAAGGGACAAGAAGCTTACATTGAGAAATTCTATGAAGTATGCATTAAATTCGTGTTGCAAATTATTGAATTCCATTTCTGGTGCTGTTTTGAAGTTACTACATTGTATCATGGGAATTTTGTTGTTGTTATTAAGCATTTTAATCCTTTTTTTTTATTTTGTAATTAACATACTGACTTGAAGATTGTATTGGATGCTTTGAAATCGGATCTTCAAAATACAGGTATATGGTTTTGGTGGAGTAGGTATAGTAGTTGAGGTTTTAACAGATAAAATAACCAGATCAGTGGCAGCTGTTAGAGAGGTAGCAAAGGACTATGGTGGAAAGATGGCAGACCCAGGATCAATTATGTTCAAGTTTAGACGTGCTCGGGTTGTAAATATAAAGGTCACAGATGCTGACAAAGACCAACTTCTTGCAATAGCCTTAGATGCTGGTGCTGAGGATGTTATTGAACCTCCAACATATGAAGATGACCCAGAAGAAGATAGAACAGAAAGGTAAAAGTATAGTTCCTTTTATAGAGATTATGACTTAGTTCTTTCTCTCTCTCTCTCTGGTCAGTACCTTAGTTCTTTTTCTTATCATATTTCTAAATGCTATATACATACGTACATATGTACATACATACATACATACATACATATATATATATATATATATATATATATATATATATTAAATTCTAGTTGTTGGCTAAATATGCTACTTATTTCATGTTTAATGTTTAAACATTTGCACTGCAACAAAGTAACTGTGTATCCTGTATATATCTGAAATTTTCTTTTCATGGACATACAATGGAGTATCCAACTTGCAATTGAGTTTATGAGGAGTTCTCTGAAATCCAGGTAGATTGCTTCATTGCCATCTGCAAGTCTTCCTGGACTTGATTGTGTGACTGTAGGTCATAGTCATCTCCTTCATGACATACCCTTCCTTACATAAGATATGTATTTTTTTATCAGCTTCATAGCATAATGATGTTGCTGCTATTTTGGGAGAAACTGGTAAAATGTTAGGCATGCATGGTAGGGCAGTAGGCATATGTATACCTAAAACTCTTCAAGTATTTGATGAATAAGATTTCTTAATAGAATAATTATAACTCGTATCTTCATTAAAAAAAAAAACTATTATAACTCAAATGGGCTTAACTAGAAACAAATGTAATTACCAAAGGACTTTGTACAGTGGCATTGACTGCATTGACAAGAAATAAAATATCCTTTTCTGTTTCTATTGAGGGATGCACAATGTCTATGGCCCCATTTGTTTGCTGGAAGAAGCACAGTGGTGGAAGGTTTTGGAGCAGGAAGGATGTCATTGTGTAAAGAAATGCTTAATGAGCCACAACTGGTGGGTATGAAAAGAATGTAAAACGTGAGTGGCACTATAAACATGAGCTGTGTTACTTGGATATGGAAAGGGCACAACTGGATATGAAATTTAACTAAAATTTAAAATATCTGACACAATATATATGACACCCTTGTATTAGGTATCCAGGTATGATAGAATATGAGATATCACAGCCTGGTCATTAATACCTTTATATACTTTGGTTAACTAGTTAATTCCAAGAGGTGGTAATAGCTGAATACAGTGGATTTTGTCTATGAGAGTTTTCCACTTTGGCTGCAAGAATATTGTCTACATGGCCTTTTAAAGAATAGAAGCCCTCTTACCATGGAAAAAATGCCTGTGAGGTCTAAAAATAGTGCACAGAAAGGAGGTAAAATTCCTAGGTTTAACTATGGGATTTTGGAAAGCTTGGTGGTATTTTCGGAGTATGTGATTAGCCATATGGATGGATTTTGGAAAGCTTTGTATAACCTGCCCTATTTAACAGAGAAAACGAATCTAAACCATAGGGTATCTCTTACACAGGTTTAGGGTGGTTTAACACTGCTTTACAGTCCAGGAATCTAGGTGATCTATCTTGGAGATGAAAGAGAGAACTCTTTTTTTTTTTTTTTTTCTTAACAAGTCTTATTTATGGGTGAAAAGGAGGCAAGAATCAATGAACATTGTGACAAAATTGGTTTCAGCTAGGAAGCAAAGATCTTCAAGAAATCAATAATCTTTTAAAGAATGCAAGAGAACTAAGATAGAGTAAGGACAAATAGAAGAGGATCATTAACTAATCAGGATCAGTCAAGACTCAAGAACAGTTTAAGATCCTAGAAAAAATGCAGGGAAATTAGATCTGAATTTGTAACTGGTGTACTCTTTGCAGATCACATGGTGAGGATTGTTACCACTTATTTTCATCTTGTAGGGTCACTGCAGAGCTTTGGGTTTGGCTTTTCTCCTTGTTTGGGTGCAGGTGGGAGATGCCAGCAGAAGTAAGCATGTTGTTTAACCCATTTGCTCTCTCTTGGCCCCATAAAAGACGAAGAAGAATGTGGAGGTGTGCAAGAGCTGCTTTGATATGGACAGTTTGGGAAGAAAGGAATGCTAGAATCTTCCAAGAGAAGGGGAGGAGAAGCCAGGCCCTAAAAGACTGCATTTTGAATAGGGCAATACAGTGGTTAAAGACTATGGAACTGTTTCACCAATTTTCCTTTAATGATTTATGGAGGAACTGGTTAGCAGTAGCAAGCTGTTCATCCTCAAGATTTTGATGGGAGTAGCCGGGGCAACCCAGGGCCCTCTGGGATGGGAGGTGTCTTGAGAAATGAGGCTTGAGACGTTATCCTTCTCTACTCTGGCCCTTTGAGCGTTGGGAATTCTGTTAGTGCAGAATTGCTAGCTGCTATGCAAGGGGTCTTCCTTGCAAAAGAATTGGGTGTGGAGCAGTGGCTGATTGAAGGGGACTCTAAGGTAGTGGTTGAGTGGTTAAATAATCGGGAGAGTGTTGTGTGGGGTTACAAGAATGAGCTAAAGAAATACAAATGGTTGATAAGGAATATAACTGTTACTGTACAGTGGGTGAGGAGATCAGCTAATGCCTTCACTGATAGCTTGGCAAAATAGGGCACAACTCGGGAAACACTATTTTGGGCTGAGCTGTAATTTTGTATTAGTACACATGTACATTTTGCTTTAGATTCTGTGTTTTAAGATTTTGTGTGCTTCATGTTTGGAGAAGCGGCATCTCACGCCTTCCCAAGGGACTGATTATGTAGTTTCTTTCTGATTTAATGGAAATATGATATTTTATCTATAAAAAAGGTTAGATAAAGAACATAAATTCTTAAATTTAACACTCTCCTACTTATATTACAATTTCAGAAAAATGAAAAAGATTGAGTTCTTTTCACCAACTGACACCCTATCAATAAAATGGCCACAACTCTTTCAAAACACATCTCATTTGCAAGGTCTTGGTTTGAATAGCTTATCCAATAATACCCAAATCAAGAAAACAGATAAGCTTTGAAACCTGAAAAATAGGCTGAAAGAAAAGTGACAAACCTGAAACTACAGCAAAAGTTGTCTTAAGTGAACCCTGTAACTAAATCTGACCAAGACAGTAAAAGAGGCTTTAATAGCTAAGGAAAACTAATCAATCATCACTTAGTAGAAATAAAGAACTTGCTTAAGCTATAGTAAATTGACCTAAAAGGTTAAACATAAACTATGAAACTGTCACTGAAAAACCAAAGAGAGAAGAAGAAATTGGATTTCTCTCACAGGTGTTAAAGATCTTCTGATCTCATTGCACCAACACCCCATTTCTAGGCATGGTCCCACCAGAGGCTGTGTGCCCCACTTCCATTTTACACCCGCTATTCTCCTGAAGTGTCTCATAAACTGGGAATGCAGCCATATTGTCAGATCTGATGACCTTGTTTTGGGCTTCCAAAGTGGATCATATAGATCAAGCCATGTAGTTCCTAAATCTAATTTTCAATTTGGATTGTATATAGAGTTTCCTGGTTGGACTTTATACCAAGAAACTGCATCTTTGATAACTCTTTTCTTGATTTTGTTTTCTTCCTTATGTACTTAGGTTTTCTGAAAGGTAATGATTTACGGGTTTTGTCTTCCATGATTAAATGTAATATTTATCATATTAATAAACTAGCGGAGGGGGCCCTGCATTGTAGGGGCTCGTTCATAAACTATTAGGCTCGAGCTCGATTCGAATTAGAGACTTGAGCTTGAGCTCGAGTCAAAAGCTTGGAAGTTCGAGCTCGACTATCTTTCATTGTAGGTCTCTCAAGTAGTCGAGGTGCTGAGCCGAGGTCTCCCCCAATTGCCGAGGTGCCAAACTGAGGTCTCCCTCAACTGCTAAAGTGTTGATCTGAGGTTTCCCTAGCAGGCGAGGTGTCAAGCTAAGGTCTCCCTTAGTTGACAAGGTGTTGAGCTTAGCTCGACACCTCACCTGCTAGGGAAACCTCCCCTTAGTTGACAAGGTGCCGAGCTGAGGTCTCCCTCAGTTGTTGAAGTGCTGAGCCGAGATCTCCCTCAGTGACCGAGGTGCCGAGCCGAGGTCTCCCTCAGTGGTTGAGGTGTCGTCTAGCTCGAGCTTGATTCGAATTAGAGACTTGAGCTTGAGCTCATAAGTTTGAGCTCGGCTCGACTCAACTCAAACTCGACTACCTCTGATTGTAGGTCCCCTAGCATCCGAGATGCCGAGCTGAGGTCTCCCTCTGTTGGAGAGAGAGAGAGAGAGTGGCATTCTTGTAATTTATAAGGAGAGAGATGGCATTCTTGTAATTTGCAAGAAAAAGAGAGAGAGAGAGTTGGTTGGAGAGAGTGACATTCTTGTAATTTGAAAGAAAAAAAGCAAGAGAGAGAGAGAGGTGGTAGGAGAGAGTGGCATTCTTGTAATTTGAAAGAAAAAAAAAGCAAAAGAGAGAGAGTTGGTAGTGTGACATTCTTGTAATTTCTATGAAAAAAAGGCAAAAAATACTTTAGATTCCATTTCCATCATCCTCAGGCCCTCTTACGTACACATTTCAGCTTAATAGATTTATTTACTAATGGAGGGGGCCCTGCGTTGCAGGGGCTCGATCATAAACTATCAGGCTCAAGCTCGATTCGAATTAGAGACTTGAGTTCGAGTTGGAGCTCGGCTCGAGTCAAAAGCTCGGAAGTTTGAGCTCGACTACCTTTGATTGTAGGTCTCTCAAGCAGCCGAGGACTCCCTCAATTGCCGAGGTGCCAAACCGAGGTCTCCCTCAGCTGCTGAAGTGTCGAGCTGAGGTTTCCCTAGCAGGTGAAGTGTCGAGCTAAGGTCTCCCTTAGTTGACAAGGTGCTGAGTTGAGGTCTCCCTCAGTTGTCGAGGTGCTGAGTTGAGATCTACCTCAATGACCGAGGTGCCGAGCCGAGGTCTCCCTCAGTGATCAAGGTGTTGTCTAGCTCAAGCTCGATTCAAATTAGAGACTTGAGCTTGAGCTTAGAAATTCGAGCTTGGCTCGGCTCGAACTCGGCTACCTTTGATTGCAGGTCCCCTAGCAGCCAAGATGCTGAGCCGCTCACTTAGTTGGAGAGAGAGTGGCATTTCTTGTAATTGATAAGGAGAGAGAGAGAGAAATGACATTCTTG